GTAGGGCTGGTGCTGGGTGGGTGTCGGGTTATGGGTTGGCAGGGGGTAGGACTGGAGCTGGGTGGGTTTCAGGTGGGTGGAGTTTGGGAGGATTGGGTGGGCTGAGTTTGGGTACCCGTGTGAGCGTGATCGGGAAAAAGAGGAAGAATCCCACGGAAGACCGGAGACGGAGCGGGAGACGACATGGACTGTGGAGAAACGGTGGAGTACGGAAAGTGAGTTTCTTGGAATTGGACATGACGGGAGATGTATATACGACCCATGGTGCGATCAAAACACCGATACCCTTTGGAGGAGGAATCATAGCCAAGAAATATGCAAGGTTTGGACCGGGGTTGGAATTTATTTGTGATTTCATGGCGGAGACACGGGTAGGACAGACACCCAAAAATGCGAAACATGGAGTAGTCTGGCGGTTTGTGGAAGAGAGACTCATAGGGTGATTTGTGATTTAGAGACCGTTTGGGCATGCGATTGATTAGAAAATTCGCCGTGGCTAAGGCTTCAACCCAAAATTTTGCTAGGAGAGACGCAGTGCAAAGGAGTGTGACAAGGGTTTCAACTAAGTGACGGTGTTTCCTTTCAGCTACCCCATTTTGCTCAAGAGTGTACGGACAAGATTTTTGGTGTAGAACCCCCAAACTTTGTAAGAAGAGACCAAATTTTGTGTTGACATATTCCCGCCCATTATCAGTTCGAAATATTTTAATTTGTGTATTGAACTGATTTTGAACCATAGATTGAAAACTGAGAAAAGCATCAAATACATCAGACTTGTGTTTAAGAGGGTACAACCAACAAAATTTGGTAAAATCATCAATAAAATTAATATAAAAGTGATAACCTCCAAAGGAGGGTACAGAAGTGGGTCCCCATACATCAGAGTGAACAAGTTCAAAAGGGGCAGACACTTTAGTTTGCGACACAGGGAAGGGGAGTTTATGGGATTTAGCCACGGAACAAGAATTACAATGATCAAGTTCCTGAAATTTAAAACCTAACTGAGATAACAGGACTTAGTGACTTGAGCAGAGGGATGACCAAGACAGCAGTGCCACTGATAGGGAGTGACTTTGACTGAGTTGACCACTGGTGACGAACTGGAGGCAGGGAGGGAATATAAGCCACGCTCACAAGGGCCCTTGAAAAGAACTTGGTTGGTGGTGTTGTCCCGAATCGTACAATCCTTGGAAGTGAAAAGTAGAGAACAGTTATTATCTTTGGTAAATTGATGAACAGATAGTAGGTGAGAATTAATATGAGGGGAATGAAGAAGGTTGGTTAAGGTAAAAGTATGGTTTGAAGTGGTTAGTATACCTGAGCCAGTATGGTCAATGGGATAAGTATTACCTCCCGCAGTTGTAATAGAGTTGGTGCCATGGTACGGTGAAGAAGTATGTAGTCGAGAAAAGTCAGACGTCACATGGGTATTTGCTCCGGTGTCCAGATGCCAGTTCGGATTGGTTTCAGCAGATTGGTTGGTGTAGTATGCCTGAGGAGGACCGGAATAAGATTCATCGTAGCGGTGCCAACAATTCCAGACCGCATGACCGGTCTTCCCACACAACTGACACGTGATGCCAGCCCCACGCCCACCACCGCGACCTCTCGGATCATCACGGTAGGAAGGCATCCGGCCTCCTCTGCCGCTGTAGCTGCTGCCGCGGGAGGGCCCACCACGGCCACGATACGGCCCACGGCCACGATACGGCCCACGGCCACGACCCCGGCCAGTACCCCGTCCTGGATTGGTGAATAAGGCTTGCTGAAGATATGTTGACGAGGGAGAGCCAGAGTCACCAAGGTGGAGTTTCTTCTCAAAGGTGAGATTTAATTCTTCAGATAGCAACCACGCAGATACTTGATTAAATGTGACAGTTGCAATATTAGTACGAATGTTCTGTTTGAGCGAGGCGTAGTCCGTAGGGAGGCCACGAAGCACACACAAGATAATATCTTGTTCAGAGATGTCCTCATGAGCCAATTTCAGGGATGAGACAATAGTGAGTACAGTGTCCAGGTATGTTTGCATTGAATCAGTGCCCTTTTGAATGCTATGTAGGCGCTCCTTCAACTGGAAAATATGAGTACGTGAAAGAGAATTATACCATTGTTCAAGGTGATTCCAGATTGCAGCAGAGGTTGGAAGAGCATGAATATGCGCCTGAACGGTTGGAGAAACAATAGCAAGAAGACATGCCCGAATTTGAGCATCCACAAGGACCCATGAGTCATAAGCCGGATTGGGTTTCATAACCGGCGGTTCATCCTTGCTAGGGGCGGTAGCTTTCTCGTCTAGAACAAGAGATGGAGGACGCACTTCTAACCATCAACATAACCGAGGAGACGATGAGCGATGAGATTTGCACGAACCGTAGCGGACCAAGAAGGATAATTTGTATCATCAAGTTTGACCGGAGTTATAGATTGAAGATTCCGGACAAATAATTTCAGACCCGTAGGCAGACGATCCATGGGATCAGAGGAGAGAACAGCCATGGCCGATTGATGGAGATCGGCGGCGTGAGAAAATGAGCAATCGGCAAGGGCCGATTTTTTTTCCTTGCGTTACCTAGACGGAAGACACGGATCAACCTGGCTCTGATACCATATTGAATTATGATTTCAACTGAAAGGAAATAATTGTGTACAAGGTAGTTTATATAGATGGAGATTCCTATATCAATTAGGATTCTCCAAGTATGGTAATTAACTATAATAACAATCCTTCTATAACTATAACTATTACCATAGTTATCTAACAAAATTAAATAAACTAAAAAACTAAAAATAATTGAAAATCTAAAAAAACTTTAATTTTTTTGTATATTGTTATATTATTCCCATTCTAATTCTTATTTTTATAAATTATTCATATTGTTATTATTATTATTGTTGTTGTTGTTATTGTTATCACGTTTTATTAATGAATGTCTTTAAGATAAAAAATATTATTATTTTTCATACACAAAAAAAACTACTTTTACACTTTTTGGGTCATTTTTTCTTTTTCAAGACATAGTTCTCTCTTGGTTTCAGAATGTAGTACTCCCCACCCCGTTCCATTATTATATTTTAGATTAAAATATCGATGTTTTACTTATATAAATTTATATTAAAAAAACATTTTATGTAATTATTTTATCCATAGTTTTTTTAAAAATAGTTTAAAATAGTGATGTTTTCCTATTTTATCTTGTAGATTAATATACAAAAAATGGTATTATTCATATTAAAAAGTTGAAGAAAAAATAATAATCAGTGTCAATCATAAAAATAGTGAGATGAAAAAATGAAATAATTTATAAACTATAGTTATGAACATAATAGGTGTAATAATAATAATAATAATATATCGTTTTAGAATAATTGGTCGATAAGCAGAAAGAGTTAGAAGAAAATAAAAATAGTTGGAAGAAACAGAAAAGATCTGGAAGAAACTGGAAAAAACTTGAAGGAACTGGAAAGAACTAGAAAAAACTGGAAGGATTGAAAGAAAGTGGAAGAAACTAGAAGAAACTGGAAAGAACTAGAAGGAACTGGAAAGATCTGAAAGAAACTGGAAGATCAGAGTTCAAGCACTAAAGAACAGGCTCTACGTGAAAAGACGTGATCTACTTCTCCAAACGTTTTAAGATTAAAGTTATTGTGATAATATTTCAAAAAAAAATATTTAATCGAATAATGCATAAATTTGTAGAATCGAGTATGTGATGTTTTATTTGTGAATCATGCTCCCTCCGTTTATCAAAACACTACCTCTTTCATTTTTTTCTCTTTCACTTTCTATTAAAAAATCACTTAAACCCCTACTTTTTCTTACCCTACCTATCACATCATATTTTTTTACTAATAATATACCCATCACATACATATCATCTTTACTCATCACATCAATGAAAAATTGGAAAGTCAACTACAAGTATACACTCCTTATTTCACCCATTAGCCAAAATAGGAATTGTTTAGGTGAACGGAGGGAGTATGTCATAAGACCTTCTTATTTAATTTATAGAAGAAATTTAATAGGAATAAAACTCTAATATAGTTTTATTTCCTTATCATTGTAATTCCATAATTTACTTACTTTCTTATTTAGGAATCTCTATCATGTACTATAAATACTCCTTGAGAGCTCTTTATTCAATGAGATAAATATTTTATCAAATTGTATCATGGTATCGGAGCTAAGGCTCCAAACGACCAAACCCTATCCCCTCACTTCTTCGACCGTGCCTAGCATCCAGTCTATCTCTGCATTTTTTTCGACGACAACGGTCGACTTTCGTCACCAAGTCTTCATCGACGGTGGTATGTTCCACCATGGCTTCTATGTTCGATTCTCTTACTTCCTTACCCTCTGGAGTAAAACTTCTACTCCGTAATCTCCATAATCTCGTCCCTGAAAAACTCACACATTCAAATTATCCTGCATAGTCTCTCAATGTCAGGACAACCTTTAATGCCAATTTACTTCTTAGATGGATCGATGGCCAAGAGGAAGCACCACCAAAAACAATCTCCAAGGATATAAAGGTAATTCGTAATCCTGTGTACTGTACATGGTCTATGATCGACACCCAAATATGTGCATGTCTTCTTGCTGTTATAAACCCCACTGTTTGCAAGCATGCTCAGGGTTTTACTACTTTTGTCGATCTTTGGAGTGCTCTTGCTACTCCTTATAATTCTGTGACCACGACTCATATTTATCAAGTTCGGGACAAACTTCACACGCTTTGCAAAGGCACAAAGACTCTGACTCAATATCTCGATGAAGTTGCTACCATTCTCACATATCTGGATGCTCTGAATGATGTGATTTCTGAAAGAGATGTGGTAAATGCTGTCATTCGCGGTCTTCCTGCTGAATACTTCTCCTTTAAACAAACATCCGCATGAACAACGAGAACATCACTCTAAATCAACGTTTTGGATGGCTCACGTACTTCTGAAAGAAATCAACCTTGAAATTGAAAGAAAATTGAGTTTAGATGATTTTCCCTCTGAGAGTTCGCGTATTGTCCTCTTCACATCAAACAGTTGAGTCTGTAGTCTAGGAGGACCGAATGGTCAAATGTACTATGGGTGCGGGGCTGCCCTTGGTCGGGGCAACGGAAGTGGGGGAAGCCGCGGTCCCCTGCGGAACCTTCCCATTTGCCAAATCTCTGCGAAGCGTGGCCACTCTGCTGGTACCACTTCGATGACTCTTACACTGTGAAAAACTCTACCATCATGTCTCGTGCTATGCATGTCACCACGACCGGTCAATCTGGTGATTGGTATCTTGATATAGGTGCCAACACTCATGTTATGCATGATCTCTCACAACTGAACTCTGATTCCCAATCATGGCATTGAAACTATAACTGTAGGTAATGGTCATAATTTACCCATAAAACATACTGGCTTGGGCTCTATTCATACACCACATGGTAAATACCACCTCCCTTCTCTTAATCATGTCCCTTCTCTTACCTCAAACTTACTATCAGTTCACCATTTCACCAAAACTAATAATTGTACGTACCCTTGTGTTTAATGCCAATAATTTTAAGATAATGGACAATATTACAAATCGGGTGCAGTAGACGGGCCCTTGTGAGCATGGTCTGTAAACTCTCCCTTCTAAGCCCATCCCAGTTGTGTGTCCAGTAGTTACAACGTCTACCTAGCATCGTAGACTCGGTCACCCGGCTCTTTCTATTGCCAAATCTATTTTGTCACTCTTAGGTTTTGAATTCTCTGATCAACTACATTGTAAGTCTTTTCATGTGTTCAAGTCTTGTCATTTACTGTTTAAATTGTCTATACATAAGGCAAACACGCCATTTCATTTAAATCATTCTTATGTTTGAGGAAAAACCTCTATCCCTTCTGTTTGTGGTTTTTGTTTTTATATTTCCTTTATTGATGATTCCAGCAAATTTATTTGGATTTATCCACTTAAACACAAGTTTGAAGCATACTGAGTTTTCCTTAGCTTTGAAAAAATGGTAAAAACTTAGTTTAATTCACATATTTAGATTTTTCGAAGTGATAATGGAAAAGAATTTGTTAATACAGCTTTAAGACTTTTTCTTCAAAACTTGGGTAATCTCCATCACACATCTTGTATATACTCCCGAGCAGGATGGGGTCACAGAACGCAAGCATCGTCATTTCATTGAGACTGTCGTTGTCTTGTTCTATGACTCTCATCTTGCAGCCTCAGGCGGTACCCCGTACTGCCAGGATGGTACCAAGGAACCGTGCACCCGTACCGAGGTACCGTAACGGGTAACGTCTAATCCGATAAATTTTCCACAAACCTGATTTTTGAGCTGTAAAATCTTATTTTTGATACTATTCAACTATGATCAATATGAAAATGATATCTGAAAATAAATATGAGGTTTTGATAAATCTAAGAACCTTGTATGATCATGACGGTAAGCTAGGGTGTTAACACTCGATGCTAGGTCGCTATTTCTCATTGAATATTATGATGTTTGTTATATAATGTTAATTATAATGATTAAGCCTCGATGAATATCCTGATTAAAATGATAGTTATGAGTGATTGAACCATGACTAAAAATGAATATATTGGTGATTATATGAAAATGATGTGTGTTGTTAAGGGTATCTAGAAGACTATCTAATATATACCCATATGACCAATTTAGTTAGGCATTGCAGGTGTGGTGTCCAGGGTTAAAACATACGTACGAGATCCACAAACCAAGCTTGAGTACCTACTCGTTTGGGGGTACCACCCAACCTGACGGTGACTAGTCCTTTTTTCGGTTTTGAGGGTGATCCATAAGACTCGTATGATGGATCATCGATTCTTGTATTCTGCCTTAAACTAATTATAGTTTAAGAGTCCGGTTAGAAATATTGCCTTAGACAATTATAATTTGAGAGCTTAGTTATTATTATGAATTTAGCCTTAGACTAAGCAAAAATTTAAGAGTGTTGTTATGATCTGGCCTTAAACTAATTATAGTTTTAAAACGCTATTGATATCATGAATATTCAATATTGGAATGAAATAACATGTGTTGATATCAAATAATCTGATATGAAATAAAATTGAATATCTGGATTAAATATTACCTGCATGATATCAAATGATTTGATTATGATTTGAGATTCGAATTATATGGATGTTCGATGCATTAGATATCTTTACTTAGCTTCACCACTGAGCGTGTAGTATGCTTTACTTGCTACACACAGGTAAATGAAATAAAGAATAATGTGATTGATCAGCAGCAGATGGGGACACGAGATGTCAGATGGATGTGATGGTTTTAACTATTCAATAATCATTTCAAAAATGAATTAATGATTATGATGTAAAATTGTTTATTACACTTATGCAATTTAAAAAAAATCCGTTACTGTTTATGTTATGAATATTATTTATGATAAATAAAAATGTTTGAAATGTTTTAAATTTTACGATTACCAAGTTTATACTTTAGTCCGAAAGGGGCTGCAGACCAGGACGGATTAGGGTGTTACAGAATATCTGATGCTATATCATATTTTATTTTAATTTTTTTTACTTTAAATCCTAAATATAATTTTAATTGAATGTATAATAGAATGTGATGCTATATTGTTTTTTTATTTGTTTATTTGTTTGATGCTAATCAAAACGTACATTGTATATTATTTATTTGTTTGATGCTACATGACATGAGATGCTATAA